CCACCGACAGACACACACACACACGCACACACACTCACGCACACGCACGACACTTTCGCCCGCAGGTACGCTAAGGGAATCACGACGAGGATGGTCAAGGCCTGCGGGCGGTTCGGGGACGACATCAAACCGGGTCTTGCCAAGCTCAGGGACAGGCTGGCGGTGGGAGGCAGCCTTCTGCCGTCTCAGGTCCCCGCGGAGGAGCTGGACTTCTTCGCCGCTTTGCGCGACACTGCCATGGGAGACACGGGCAGGTGATCCATCGAACGCATGAAAAAACCGAATGTCCACTGTCTATGGGGTGGTGAGTGAACAACTGAGTGACTGAGACACACAGATGGGGTCCAGCGCTGCCCGTGAGTGATCGATCGTCAGTACGCGAAAGCGGGAGAGAGAGTGGGCCCGGGTTGTCAGGAGGAACGAACACAGACGGACAGACCCTGGGAGGAAGGGAGGAATTAAAGACGCCGGGCGGACGCGACCATGATGAAACAATTCAATGTAAGTATCGGTCAAATCAATCACCGTATAAACATTTTCCTTATGTCCGCTGAGCAATGAGCCCACCCCGATCACTCTGTACACAAGCAAAATGAACCGCAAACCGATAACCTCACAAACAGACTCAATGAATGCAACCGGGCCTGACGTTTTTGCTGTGGCTCGCCCAGTGGGCAAGAAGTGTCCGATCAGGGTTTGCTGCTAGCCGTTTGTTTTTTTTCCTGTTCGCTTCCAAGCTATTCAGCTTGACACAAGGCGAGTCAGTGAGGTTGGTTGGGAGAGATTCCCTTCCGTAGAAGCGCTCACCGCGCCCATTGGCTTTACTCACTGATGCGCTGACTCTGACTGCCTCGTGAATGATTGTTGGGAGCGTGCTTGAGATCGGAAGAGCCACCTCGAGATCTGCTGGAGCACACGCAACGGGACGGCAAATGACGTCTTGACTTGTCTTGACGTGTCCGAGCAGAACCGCAACGGAATCAGCTACAGAAAAAAAATCAGCCATCCGAGCCGACCAATCACGGCTCGAAATGACCGCGAGGTTGAGTCAACTGTCCATTGTGACTCACAGAAGGGTCAGTTGAGTCATCTGAGGCATCTGATGACATTCATCCAACTGGATGGTCAATTTGTCTGATGCATTCACTGCTGCAGGTGGTGGGGCGGTCGTGAACTTTGACCGATCAATGCATGCTTGGTTTCTCGAATTTTACCTCGCGGCCAGCTTTCAATCGTCGCTTTTGGCTCGGTTTCGTGACTGTTCGGCTCGTTTGGTCATTTCCCCTCTCTCATTGATCGCCTGCTGCCGTTGACCATGGCTGACAGTGCCGGCGGCACCGGCGGGCGTCGGTCCCTCATCCTGCAGTGGGACCGTGAGGCGGCTCGGCAGATGGGATTGACGGACCCGCCCGATGCAGACACGCCCTACAACGTGGAGGTGCCTGACGCAGACACCGAGGACTTCGTCAGAACCTTCGTCTGCAAAGAAGCTGCCCGTAAGCACCACGAGGGAGGGCGACACTCACTCACTCATTCACACGCCAACACAAACTCATTTGTGTTGTTTGTGTTGCTTCTGCTTGGCGTGTGCAGCTCGTGTTGAGTCTGCTGCGCCCTCGTCTTCGCGTCACAATGACACACCGCAGCAGTCGTTGAGCAACCATGACACACCCACGCGAGACCACAACACAGACACAGACGACGTGAGCCGTGCAAACAGACACAAAGACACACACAGACAGGCACTGCTCCTAACTCACTCACTCTGCCCCTCTCTGCATGTGTGTGTGTGTGATGCAGTATCCGCCGATTGAGTTGACGAGTGACGAAGATGACAGCTACATGTACCCGCCCCTGCCGCCCGCCCGCCGTCGACCCGGCGCGCAGGTCGACTGGGCCGCAACACTCGTCCGTGAGCGGGAGCAGCAGGAGGAGCGTGAGCAGCGGGTGCAGCAGACCATCATGCCGGCGCCGCGCATGAAGGTGGGCGTCATCAAGGAGTCCGCGACCAAGATGGTGGCCATCGGTATGCATTATAAGCACGCCTGACAGACAAACAGAAAGAAGGGAGGCGGGGAGGGGAAGGATAAGTCTTGCGTCAATGTGTGCATGCTGTGTGTTGGTGTGTGCCTGTAGTTCCCAGGTCCGTGCCGCAGTTGCGTCGGATGGGGTTCGAGGTCGTCCTCGAGACGGGTGCGGGGGAGTCGGCAGGCTTCAGCGACAGCGACTACATGCTCTGGGGCGCCGAAAGTGGCGTCCAAGCAGCACACGATCCAACAGGCAGACATCGTCGTCAAGGTACGCCACACACAAAGCAATGCATTCATTTGCAAGCCAAACCTCCATCCATTCATGATGCAGGTGGGCAAGCCGACGGCCATGGAGGCTCAGCAGATGGGCTCCTCATCCAACGACAGAGACAAGGTGAACACATACCCCAACACACCACCACACCACCAGCCTTTGATCTCTTTGGTGCACGATGGTGCAGGTGTTGGTGTGCAACATGACAGCGTCTGGCGACAAGCAGCTTCTGCTCGATCTCGGCAGCAACAAGATCACCGCGGTGGCTGTCGGCGAGCTCCCCCACACGAGAGCCACTCGCGCCATGGACGTCCAATCCGCCCTTTCCTCGCTCGACGGCCATCAAGTAAGTACCCGACCTCCTTCCCCCTTTGACACAAGACAACACAACACAACACACCCACACACAGATAAACAAATGCACTACTGTTTCCTCTCTCCTTTCTCGTGACCATCAATCAGGCCGTGATCGAGGGCATCCATGCTCTCGGCGCGCTGACTGGCACTTCATCCTTCAACTCGCCCAAGGTGCTGGTCATCGGATCAGACGTCGCAGCTCGCCAGGCTATCGCGACAGCCAAACACGGTCAGACGAAGACACACACAGAGATGAGGTGGTGCTGGCCTCTCTCTGCATGAATATGCGTCATGTGTGGTGTGTGTATATCAGTTCTGGGCTCTTGTGTGTTTGCCACTGACACTGACACCGGAGGTGATGCCAGGGCCCGCCTGGAGTCTCGCGGTGTGCGGTACATCGACCCCTGGCACGCTGCCACATCGACGTCAGGCGACGGCAGCGACTTCGATGCGCAGCGTGCGATGCTGATGAAGGTGTTGCCGTCGATGGATCTGGTCATCTGCTCGGCGGCCAACAGAGACAACACGGCCCCCCAGACACTCGATGGAGAACTGGTCAGCCAGAGCACAACAGCCAGCACCGAGACTGACACCAGACAGACACTCACTGTGTTGCCTGTATGTGTGTGTGTCCATGCTGCAGGTGCGTGTGATGGGCCGCGGCAAGTGCATTGTGGATCTGACTTCCAGCAATACTGCACTCGCGCGACCTGGTAAGGACACACAGACAGGCAGATGGACAGACAGATAAGAGGGGACTGCACACCTGTGTGTCGTGTCTTGTCTTGTCGTGTCGTGTCGTGTCGTGTCGTGCTCAGGTGAGGTGGTGGTGGATGGTGTGTCTGGTGTCAAGATCGTGGGCATGCACAAGGCGGCTGATTGCATCCCAGCTGCCGCATCAATTCGCTACTCGTCGTGCATCGTCAACATCCTCAAAGTCGGCACTTCACTCACGAGAGACACAGTGACACGGAAACACGCAGCCACTTCTGTGTGTGTGGTTGATCAGAGTGCCGGCGGCGCAGCGGCCTTCAGTGTGACGGCCAACCCCGACATCAACGCGATGGTCATGACGCGACACGGCAGCGTCACACGCGCCGCACTCCGCATCTTCACGCAACAAGAGAGACCAGGTGGGTGGGTGAGTGCGTTCGTGGGGAGAGAATTGTGTGTGTGCATGTCGTTCGTTTGTGTGTGATTGTTTGTGGTCAGATCTTGTGTCCCTATTGGATCGCTGGGTGGCCGAGCAGCAAAGCGCCGCCAACAACACCAGCACAAGCAACTAACTGACCGAAGGCAAGCAGCCTAACCATGCATGACACACACACCTTCCTACGAAACAAACGTGCACATGTGTCTGTCTGTGTGCCTGGCTGTGCAGAGATTGATTGGCCAAGACTGTGTGTATGTGACTGCATGGATGTCGACGCGCAGACGAAAAGAGAAAGAGAGACCACACAACAATTGCCACACAAGGCAAGAGAGACAGTGAGTGAGTGAGTGATGGATGGATTGATGGATGGATGAGATGAGTGTGCCTGTGCGTGTCGCGTGTCAATCGCATCGATGATCCGATCCATTGCGATGAAGTAACACAACACAGGTCATGTCTTGTCCAAAAGTGCCCACTGGCAAGGCAACACACTGACTGCCACATTCACTTAGTCTGACTAGTTTGCACCGGTCGGTTGGACAGGACACATCAGCTAAGATACAGCTCCAGCACGTCGCCCTGCATGGTTGAACTTCTCATCTGCACACACACACCAACCCAACCGACACACACCACCTCTGTTAGTTCCGTGTCTGGCAGCATGTCTGTCTGGCTGGCTGGTTTACTGCAGACGGGGCACTTGCGGCGTCTGCTGTTGACGTCACGCTCAATGCACTCTGACGCACCGCACCGACCAGTACGACAACACATGAAGGAATGCACCTCACCTGTACCGACCCACCCCGGCCCCGCGCACCTCTGCAGAATGTGTGTCCGCAGACTCTGAGTGCCGCATCTCGCCGCGACTCGGCCTTCTTGCACACGGGGCACCGCACCATCCGCTGACAGACCAACACAACGACACATCACACACGCCAACACATCCCTCCATCCATGTGTGGCGTGTGTTGACGCGATGCATAGGTGCCAGTGAGTACCTCGAAGTCAGTGAGTCTGTCGGCGAGGGCACGGACCTTCTCTGTTGGTTGTATCTGAGCCACTCGCTCGTGCTCACAGCATCCAGCCATCGCTATCGAAAGTGTTTTTCATTCGTATTGCCCGACTCGTGTCTGTGAGTTTTCTGTCCCACACTGACTGACAGTGTCCATCAACCTCAGGGATACACACATGCACTACACACGCACCACACTCGCTAAAATGACATTGGCTATTCGACACACAGTACTCGAAGCGCCAAAAACTGACTCAATAAAGCTCAATCAGCACAGCAGCCGCACACAGTCGCTGGTCGACGCCATTCACCTGAGGAAGCACCACCACACACAGCAAACTATTTGTTTATCTGCGCATCGTTCCATCCAGGCACACAGCGCGTACCTGTAGAGCTTCACATTGACCAGCTTCGGCCGGCCCCGAACACCCTTAGGCGGCGATGGCGTTAGCGATGGCGTTAGAGTGCAGCGGATCCCTGCCCCAGCTTCTTTCTCCACCTCCTGGCACACCATGCCGAACAGCAGGTCGACCTTTCCCGCGTCCTCCGGGAAGGTCCTGATCTCCGCCGCCTCAGGCCCCACCCAGTCACACGCGGC